GAGTGTTGGCCCTGTCCCTCCTCCTCCGCCGAATCCCACCGGCGTACCCGGAAATCCCGGTGGAGCTCCGAGACCAGGAAAACCTGGTGGAGCTCCGGTTCCTGGAAAACCCGGAGGACCCATGTTTCTCGGATAACCCGGCCCGGGATTCCCGGGGAAAACCGGTGGATTCGGGTTCCTCGGAAACGCCGGAGAACCTGGATTTCTCGGTGGGTTTCCTGGAAATTCCGGAGAGCCTGGCAAAGTCGGAGTTCCAGGGTTTCCCGGAAATTCCGGCGAACCTGGATTTCTCGGAAAAGGTGGAGGTCCCGGGTTACTGGGTAAATCCGGCGATTCTGGGTTCCCCGGAAAATCCGGCGAATCAGGGTTTCCCGGGAAATTCGGAGATTCTGGTTTTCTCGGCAAATTCGGAGATCCCGGAGTTACTGTAAAATCTGGAGGAACAAACATTTCCGGCGAATCTGGAACGACGGCGGCGGCGGAGACGGTGGTAATGGCGGAGGAGGAAGGAGGAGAAATAGGGAAAGAATTGACGGTAAAAGTGGCGGCCATGTACTGAGTCCTACCAGAGTCAATTTTACCAGCGGGTATGAACATAAACCCGACTTGATTACCCGAATAAAGGAGCTGAATGGAGCTGTCGTAATGAGAGAAAACGGCTCGGTTAGGGTTTCTAATGGCGACGTACTGAGAGAAGGTGAAGTTGGCCGTGTTGTTAGAGACGGCGAACGATGGGAGTTGGACGGCGTTAACGGAGATCTTTGGGTCTTTTGGTTTGAAGACGGTGAAGTAAACGATGAGGAGGACGGCCAGTAAAAAGAGCAAGAAGACGGTGGCTACGGCACAAGAAGCTAGATTTGTACGGTTTGAAGGACGACGACCACCACCGTGAGGCTTGGCCATTGCCGGAGATCGGAGAGTGTTTGGAGATGAAGATAGTGTTGAAGCAGAGAGTGAGTGAGAGACAGACACTGAGAAAGTAGAGTGGGAATTTACTATTGTGCAGTGGGAAAATCTAAAAGCAATGGACTTTTTATTATTTGCCTCTCACAAACAAAACAAGAGACCACATTAAAGCCTTCATTCACATTTTTTCATAATTCATTTTCATTACAAGCTTTTTTGCATTAATCGAGAATGTTTTCATTATGATA